TCCTGCTTTCTGGCTGCTTCCCTGTCTTTATCAAAGATACCTGTAGCAGGGATCACAGCTTTCGACATTTTTGAACAGTGCGCTATGAGGTAGTCGGTCAACAAGGTAATGTTGAATGATAACTGGGTTGCAAGTCAACTGAGAGAATAAGCAAATTTTGGAAAAGTAAACAAATTCTTTCTCACTATCAAACCAGCATCATCTTTGGCAAAAGATTAAGGACTGCTTAAAATGTTTCTTTAAACATAGGAAAAATTTTAAGTGCACATAATTTCTACAAGTGTATTATTTTAATGCTCTTATGTCATAAGTGTGTCATAGAATGTACTAATTGTAACATTTAACTGTATATGCACATCATTCTCTAGCTTGCTTTTTACTTCATGGTTACCAAATACCCTGAAAAATATGCATTTTAATCTATCTGTAACTATCCTAAAGTTCTTGATTTTTTTTTCCTTTTAGACAATACTCTATATGATTATTTTTTGACCTAGTCTCACCATACAGAATGCCATGAGTCACATAAATCAAGCCACAAACCAAGCAAATAATTTTGTATGTTTTTGCTGTATTTCTGGCTTCCTTTCCAGCTCTGCATCACTTCAGGCATCAACAAAAAAAATGTTGTAGTGTTACTGCTTTTAACTTTTCAAGATAAAAAAACATTTATTGTCACATGGCGAATTGAAATAATAGAGACAGTATTATGTTCTCATTTGTCAGTAAACCTGATAACATTTTAAACAAGAATTGGGTGCCAGATGACTGTTCTGCAACTAATTCCGGAACAAATTTCTGTATAATCTACTGAAAGTGTTTTGGAGTTCCTTGCCAGCAAGACTTTCTAATAACATATTAATGAGTAATTAGAAATCTACGGACATGATTAAATCTTAATCTACAATCTGCAGAATGAATGTTTAGGCTGAAGCACAGCAAACTGGCAGAGAACTCAACTGGAGATGCCTCTGTAGGTGCAAGAATTTGGCTGGCATTTGTCCAAGCTGAAGCTCTGATTTATTTGTGAATTCTTCAGACTGCACTGGTTTCCACTGGACAGATAACTCAAATCAGACTGCTAGCTCAGTTCCACAGCCCTCCACTTACAACCCTGACTGCTTGAGTACCAGTATCAAATATTTTATGGAAGATGGGCATAAATTGGTTCTTTCTAATGAAAACTTTGGACTATCATTGCACCTCTTAAATAACGGATTTAATTTGCCTGGTCTTTATTATTTAAAAGTTCATTTACATGATACATGTGCATTACACAAACTACCCAGTATATAATTATACTTAGTCAAGCAAAGTTCTCACTAAACTTTCATTTTTCCCTCAATAGCAAGCAGTTGTTCTGTATGTAATGCTACAGCAATACCATAAAGCTCTGGGAATAGCTGGTTCTAAGCAGCCTGGAAATGATTATGACTATAAACACAAAAGAGACTTTGACTGAAACTACTGAAAAATTCATTTTCTCTTGTTGTTATAAGAGATGCATTGGCTGACATGAGTGCACTTCATAGCCAGGACAAAAACCTCCCAACTTTCTACACGTAGAGTAGCCTTCCAGTTCCACAAAAGCTATGCACTTGGCACAATATGAGGAATGTAGTCTAATAAAAAGCTAAGTGTAGGCTAACACTAAAAGAGTTTAAATAAACTGTTTCTATAACTAGCTAGGCAATTATAACATGCAGAGCCCCACCGAACACAAGAAACATTTCACTTCTCTAATCTTTGTCAGCTAAAGATTTCAAACAGCTTTGAAAAAAAGTAGAGAAATATCTGCCTTATGGATAAGAAAACAAAGCACAGATAGACTTAGGAGAGCACAAATTGCCAGAAAAGGACACGGTAAAATCTTTTTTCCTCGGCCAATCTAATCAAATTAAAATTCTCCAAAATTAACAGAAAGACTTACAAATCCCTATATTTAGCCTTGGTTCAAATCCACACTGCTGGTTTTAAAGGACTATGAAGAATTAAGGTGTTATCTTAGATTATTTATGCTACTCTTTTATCAGTCAGCAAGCCTAAAAGAAGTACTAGCATAAAATAAACTGCCAACAGAGAAAATACAAGTAAAATCAGGTACATGCAAATGTACTTGCTATACAAAACATGGCCATAGCATGTAAAAATCACCAATTAAGGTTTTCCTAAACCGAGGAATAGTGTTTTGCTAGACTTGCTCATGAATCTTCTGGTATTTAGAATGTCTTCATAGAGGAAAGAAATCTGAATATACTATGAAAATAAAGTACATTTGGAAAGATCCTCTTACTATTTATTATAGAAAAGATAGTACTACCTTTTAGGCAATACGGTTTCTCAATTAATATTCATTCCCCAAATTAACTGGATCATAAATTTCAACATTCCAAATTAATCCTTCTCTGTTGCAAAAATCAAACAATCAAATCGACAAGGATGAGCATTCAGATGGCTTGTGTAATCCCAATTTATATGCAAGCATTGAGAAACAGTCTAATAATAAAAACTATACATAAGAGTTTTCAGCAGAACCCATTGCCTCTTCTCTGCAGGTGATTCACTGAAGTTTTGCCTCTTTTCGAAAAAGCTCAGAGTTCCTGTATGATACTGCACAAGGTATCAAACACAAACTTTTCCTCAGCGATCAATAGCGCCATGTAAATTTTCAGTTTACACACTTGAGATGCTGGGGAAGATATCTAGAGACAAGAAAAACACACCTCAAGCTGAAGTAGTGAGTGCTGTTTGCTGAACACAGTACCTGAAGGGCTCTAAAAATCCAATCTTATGTCTTAAACTGTGCATCCAAATTTAGTGAATTTTTCTGACCTTAATCTCTGTCAGTTCCCCATCTGTAAAACAGAGATTATACCGCATCCCTCACTGGGGTTTTGTGGAGATAAATTTAATTTAAAACCTGTGAAGCACCTGGATACAGTAGTGATGAGCAGCACAGAAAAGCCTGTGAGGAAATTAATAATTCTGACTTCTGAGCAGGGTCTGAATGATGCACTGTAAATAAGGCTTAGGGCCACATATCAAACACTGAAGATAAAAAAACAACTTGAATAGCTGCTCATTAATTGAGTACTGTTCATCTTGTGTACTGCGTAAGGAAGAACTCTTCTGGAAAAGTATTATGTATTCTCATAGTTAAAGACTTTTTTATAACACATATGCGTAAGAGAAGCTGAATTTAGGTTGCAATGCCAGCCTTAATGTTAACACCCTTTTCTCTTGACTGCTTGCTTTTGCATTCTTAATAATGTTCTCTCCATGCAGTTTGTACGTGTAACAGTTATATACAAAGAATGAATGATGATCTCATTGTGAATGTCTGATTTCCATGCACAAGTGGTAATGAACAAAGCTTGGTTAAAAAGATTGCATTAGAAAAATAAAACACCAAGCTTGCCTAGGCTTGGTAAATTCAGCAGGGCTTCTACTGAATTTTCTATTCAATTGCTTGAAATGGTCCAAGTAGTACTTCTGTTTACACTTACTATGCATTACCATAAGAGAATTGGGAAGGGAAAATATATCGGGGGAGTGTCCTTTCAATTTTTATCAAAGACATTCAATTTTAATTCTCAACAATAACAGCAGCTGACATGTTCCCTTTGCTAGTTTTTGTGAAAATAAATCAGGCAGAAATTAAACTAGAAGCACACGAGGGAATCAAGGAGCAATAGCATCTCCCCAACATGCTCTCCAGTGCTGCCTTCCTTTCCAAAAAAGGCCCCTCTGCACCTTGCAGAGGGAGGTGATGGACAATCTTGTGAGGGTTTTTGCAAGTCCTTTTCCAGCGAGAACTGCCTCCTTCCCAATGAGGCTGGGTACTCCCAGACCGCATACCCAGGCTCTCAAGGCCACGGATATCATTGTGACAGCCCTGTGACAGCACGGCTCCTACAGAAAGACCCCTGAACAAAAAGCCCTGCCATCTGACTCTAGGAAGCTGGACAGTTTCCAGTCCTGATTTCATTTAGATGACACATAAGTTGCTCATTAAAAGCAAGAGGAGTTACACCTACCAATAGAAGATCAGAACTAGGTCCTGCAAGATTCAGTTCAGGAGTTTCCTAGATCTTAAGTACTAAAATAGCATAGTATATTCAAGTTAAAATTAAATTTTTGAATGTGAAATCATTTGAAAGGGATCACATATTTACTGATCATGTGAAAAAAATACAGTTTCCTAGAGATTAATTGTACAAAACCTTTAGAAAATAATATTCTCTTTTAACTAATTTTATTGGCGTAAAATTATCAAGCCTTAAATATCACCAAGATAAATAAAATATAATAGATTTCAGCTAGAATATCTGTCTTCAGAGAGTACTTAGAAGACAATCTATGTTCAAATTGACAGCATTGACTATACTTAGTCAACAGATCTTACGTATTTGTTACAATTTTTATAGTAATATGAAGCCAGAATATGTTGTACCTAGAATATTCCATCTTCTCAAAAGGGCAACAGAAAACCAACATATTTTAAATATTTAATTAGGACTAAAATCAAATTTACATAGTGATATGCCACATTTTCAGCTAGTGATGAAGGGAAAAATCTCTGCATATTACCAGTATTTGAAAGGGGAGTCATTTCTATTTCACTTTCCTTACAGAATGTCTCCAGAAATTTTCACACTATTGTGCAATCTTTCAGATGCTTCTTTTAGTTTTTAATTTAACTAGTTCACTGTTGATATAAGTTGGGACATTACAGTTTCAACAGTAAAATATTCATTACTTGATCAAAGTTTGAAATATGCCCTAAAATAATTGTATTTGTCTTTAGCAAACATTTTATTTGAGTTTTGAACAAAACTCCTGATGGAAGCTGATGAAAATTACTCCAGCTTGAAATGCTCTGACAGATGTGCTATCTAGCAA